AAGTCAAGGATCATACAGCACATTGCTGGAATACGAAAGTCTGCTTCTTCTAATTAGTCTAATTTAGCATGAAAAACATGTGTTCAGCATAAAGTAGCCGATGATGAGTGAGGAAATAAATTAACTGGAATACTGACACATTCATGCTTCTCAGTTTCACAATGCAAATCATAGGTTGTTAGCATCACTCCATTTCTCTACCTTGCTGGAAGTGGCACTTAATAAGTTAGAAGTAGAGATGTGTGTGCAACAGACCTGGGATGTATTGATGCACCCATTGGCAGTAAAACCACAGTGGGCCCTTCACAGAACAATGGACCATACTTACATACGTATATATTAATTGTGGCCAATTCACCCCTAAAACAGTTGTTATTTTTAAAGAGCGGGTTTGCTAAAACTGATCATTTAGGAGCACTGGATGCTGGAAAGTTATGATATATGTTAATCCATTTTTAAATATATTTCAATAATTTTTATTGTAATTATACAAAATAAACAAAACAATAGACACAGTAGTCACAGCATCCATTTCTTGATCAAGCATAATGTATAGATCTGGGTACAAATAAGATTCAACAGAATCCGGAAAGGATGTACCATATATTACTTGGTTAAAGAACATAACTGTGACCAATCAAAAAATTCAAACATATTCAGCGTAGCTATAACTAGGCCTCCGGTAACGGAAGGCACTGAAAATTAACTGATAATTCAGCATGTTATGCATATGACTACTGCCCATTTGATTATCAGAAATTCACTTTTGAAAGAAGACATACAGGATTAACAATAGCAGGAGAGGCAAATCATCTAGTAGAGATACAGAAAAGGGGTATAAAAGGGACAATGATGGAAATTAGGTAGAAGAGGAAAAAAAGGGGAGGGGAGGAAAAAGGAGGGGAAGAGCACCCTCCAATCGCTATATTTAAGTCCCTCCGGCCAGGTCAGGAGGACCCAGAAAGATATGTTATCCATGGTTCCCAAGTTTTTTCAAAGTAAGTCAGTTTGTCATGGAGAATGGTTAACATTAGCTCATTAATCATAATCCATGTCAACATGGCCTTTAGAAGTTTGAAGGGGACTGTAGGGGCTTAACAGGACCATGCAATGGATATCCTAGCTGCTGTAAAAATGAATGCAATCAGGCCTCTCACCCATTCCAGTACCCCCTTTACTGGCCTCCCCAATAGGGCCTGCTGTGAAGATACCACTAAATTCACTAGGGTGAGAGAATAAATGAAATTATATGTGCAGATCCAAAATCGTTTCACTTTAACACAAGTCCACCAGGTGTGAAGGACCATTCCCTCTGTCTGCATCTGCAGAAAAAGTTAGAGGAGACTCCCGGAATGGAGAACGCCAAGCGTGCTGGTACCAAATACCACCTAAGAAAAACTTTAAAAAATTGCCCTCAAACAATCCGCTGCCTCCAGCGTTTCACCTAAATCTAGTTCCCATTTTCCCATGTATGGTAATTTAGTAGTGTTCTTATGAAGTATTATATATATCTTAAATATATGACCAGTATGTTTTTTGAGAGCTTTGCACAGGTGCTCCATAGGGGTGGAGGATGTTATGTTGCTGGAGTGTTTCAGAGTGTTCAAAAGGTGTGAAATTTGAGCGTATCGAAACTGCTCTCTTGTGGGAAGTTGATGCTGTTCCTGCAAAACTAATTGCGGTATAATCATATCATATGGAAATATGTCTTTAAACTGGCATCCTTTTTAGAAAATGCCTCCATTTATATATCTCTCAGCTCAAGTTTTGTTTCTCAAAAGTACTCTCATTTCTCTGTAAACAGCTATTTGCAGTTTCTGGTCTTCAGGTACCTATACTGATAAGAGTGTAATGTTTTATTGGTTATCCTGACTAAGAAAGATCTGTTGAGTTTCTGTATATCATCCCTTGCTGTATATTAAACTTTAGAAAAACTGCTTTTACACTTCTGTGAGCTTTATTTCCCCGGATCCTGTGATAAGAGAAACGAGGACAGGTCAGACTACAGATGGACAGATATTGATCCCATCAATTTGATGTCAGAAGTTGGGACAAAGGTGCGGCCGATCAGGTAAGCTGAGCAATAAGTCTTAGACTTCACCTTGATCATACCTCTTTGAAACCCGAGTATATAGTAGCCAAATTAACCATTTGAGACTGTTGGGTCTCACAGGGATTGTTTGAGGTTTGGAATCTCAAAGGAAATTGTCAGAGGTTTGGAACCTCTGGGGGAAAATTGCCTAGGCAGGAATAATAATATTGTGAATTCACAGGAGTCCTCATTTCTCTTTGCCATTTTAGGAATATAAGTGCTTAATTGCTGCAAGTTAAGAAACTGTTAAGTAGAATATTTGTGTTACTGTAAAAGTGCCAGCCGCACCACCACCATGCAAGGGTTAACGCCCTATGGCCGGGATCTGGTGAAAGCAAGGGATGCTTGAAAGTAACAGACTAGGGTTAAGAAAATCCTGAATTAATTTGTAAGGAATATGTGCAAAGGGTATCACCATGGGATGATTATGATGTGGTCCCATTCATAGATAATATTGCCAAGTGGTCCCTGGGCATGAAAAGCAGTAGTCATTTTCCTAGAGATGGGTCTAACAATAAGTTTCATATGGACATGATAAGGGAACTATAAGAAAGCTTTCCAATGGTTTTCAGGGGACCCTGAATGGGATATGAAGTATATGAAAGCGGCAGGTCTTAACTTGCTGCAATATGCACCTGGTTACACCCCAGAGCCCAGTAACCTAAACCCTCAATCTTTTGCCTCACCATCTGCCCCACCAAGTTATACATAAGTATATCCAGCTCTGCCCAAAATAGAGGATGATGATTTCCTCAGACCTCTGAGGGCGGACAGACCGCCACCCGAACCACCCATAGTTCCATTACAGACAGAAGGTATACGGAGTCCAGACAGTACAGATCAGGAGGAAGAGGGAGGGGCAGAGTAAGGAGGAGAGGGAGAAGAGAGGGACATGGTAGTAGTGACCAAAGCTACAGAAAGTCCAATAACCATTACAGTGACATCTAAAAAGACTGTAGATCCTAATGACAGGAATTTGAGAAGTAATGTCAAAGGAAAGAGTAATTCTCCTGTATATTGTAATGGGAAATGATGTGGTAACTAAGCCCATGGACATGACAGAAATTAATAACATCACAAAAATAGCCCAGACCCCAGAAAGAATCCAACTGTCTGCATAAATTATTTAAAGAAAGCCACACAAGGCAGACAGTGCTCACAACAGGACATGAATTTAATAATTGACAAAATTTTGGAATATGACATGGACTCAGATTTTGACTGGACAAAGGTGCTTACAATACATTCTTTAATTGTTCTTGGAACTCCGGCCTCCACTCATGTATGGCTGAAGGAAGACAGTCAGAGAAAGGTGTGGGAGGAGGTGACAACATAGATGGAGGGAATATGGAAGGGTGGAAAATCTTTAGCAACTGCTGTAGCTTAACACAAGGACCAAAGGATACAGTGACAGAGTTTGTAAAAAGATTTAGAAAAGTCTGGAAGGAAGAGGCTGGGATGGACATGAATAGTGCAGAAGTGGGCACTATATATATTCAAACCTTGATGGCAGGATTCAGACCTGAAATCTCCCTGTTAATAAGACAGCTTATTTTAGACTGGACAGAGATGGAAGCAGGTAAATTTGAAAAATGAGTGATGGAGAAGGAAGCCGCTGGATGTTTTGAGGTCCCTAAATCTACCAACAAAGCACACTTTCAAGGGTTACAACACAGTTTCAATCCTAGAGAAAGAGGTAGCAATGGAAACAGGGGAAGAGGAGGATATAAAGGTAGAGGAGGTGGAAGACCCAGGTATGACAGATGTTTTGAATGTGGACAGGAAGGTCATTGGAAGAGAGATTGCCCAAATAGAGTAGGTAAACCTGCACCACAGGAGGCAAAGTGCAGAAATCCACCCATCAAGTACCCAGTCAGTTGGCAGAATCAATCAAGGTCCACAATAGGGCTGCCCCAAAGATAAAAACTCCCTCACATGTCCAGTTGTCTCACATACTCCAAAAAAGAAACCTGTCATAATTCTAAAAGTAGAATAAAGGAACATATGTTTTGTGATTGACACAGGTTCGACTAGGCCAGTTTTAAAGGAAGAACATTATGTGGGACCACTTACCTTACGTGAACCTTCAATAGAAATTAGTGGAACAGTTCTCCAAACTTTAAGACCACTCCCTTACCTGTTAGAGGGGGAACTGACAGTGAAGGAAATGACCTGATTATTTGGCATGAATTTACTGTAATTCCTGACTGCCCAGATAATCTGTTAGGAAGAGATTTACTTTGTAAAATGGATGTCCTAATGGCAATTGATGATGATGAGGAGGGCATACGCCTGATTAGCCCCTTTTTGGCATGCCCTTAATTAACTGCTTGCCATGACCAGCTCCCCCAAATTACACTAATGGTTGGTGGCATAATTATGGAATTCTTGGTTGACACAGTAGCCAGTAGGTCTAGTCTGAGGGAAGACTATTATGAGGGGACAAAAGCAAAATGGGAACACAGTATGTGTTAACACCTGGGAAACACCCCCTTTGAGTGTAGCAAACCATTATGGTAAGAGTCCCATAGTGAATCATTCCTTCAAAATCTTACCGTGAATTTGTTAGGCAAGTTTGGAGCCACAACCAGAGTAAGTGAGGAGGGAGGAGTGCACATTGAGTCACCTCACTGTTCTGTGAGCATGGAAGATTTAGACAAAGTGAAGTCTGAAGTTTGGGCCAACAGTAAGATAGATGTAGGGTACATTCCCTGTACACCTTACAAAGCCAGACTTAAGCCCGGCACTGGCCCGATATACAAAAAGCAGTATCCCCTGTCCATACTGTAATGCCTTTTATTCCATCCCAGTTGACGAAGAGACTCAACTTCTGTTAATTTTCACTCTGACCAGCAGTTAGCCTGGGCCAGATTGCCCCAAGGCTATGTGGATTCACCGGCTGTATATTCCATGGCCCTCCGACAATCCTTAAAAGGGTTGGGCACCCTGCCATGGTCCCACATTGTGTCAGGAATGGACTCTGGTCGAGCTTGGTGACTCGGTGCCCGCTGTCGTGCCAGATGACTCTGTCCGCTGCCCAGCTTGACGTGCCAGCCTCTGATGTCCAGCTAAACTGGCCAATAACTGGTTCCCAGCCTGCTCCTGGAGATCCTGTGTCCAGTAACCTGCCTTCCTGGGTTCTCCTACACAAAGAGAAGTCTACCAGCAGGAAACCCAGCCAGCTGGTTGACTCCGGCAGTAGGATATTCAGCCAGTTACCTGACCCGGGCAGTGGAACATTTTGCTCACTTAGGACTGTTTGGAGCATCCTGAGGCCGCTCCTTGAGGTGGGGGTACTGTCAGGAATGGACTCAGCACTGGTGGTGGGACTCACCTGCCGTGTGGGCTGCAGTACCAGGGCTGACCAGCAGGTGTTTTCAGCAGCCAGAAGCTCACTCCTGCAGTCAGCCATCAGCTGAAGCTGATTGCAGGAGGTGTATTTAAGTAGGACCAGGCCTGTGATCAGGGCCTTGGTGTATGTTTCCCATGAGCCCCTGTACCTGGTATCCTGCGTTCATGCCTATCTGCCGACCCTGCTTTGATCCTGACCTCTGCTGACCTTCTCCTGTTGAACCCCTGGCTTGCCGGACCATCCTTCTGCCTGATCCTCTGTACCGCGCTGCCCGTGAGTTACAGAACCCGGCTTGTGACCCTGACTATTCTCTGCCTGCTCCTCCGGTACCTCACTGCCCGCACGTTGCTGACCTGGCCTGCCTGACTACGCCTGACACTACCCAGATGATCCATCCATCCCGCACGGATCCAGTCACTACTCTCCAAACCTGCCAGCCCCTTAACATCAGGCTTTCCCCCAGTACATACTCTCGGCGGACCCCTCGACCACAGTTGGGTGCACTCAGGGGCCGCAACCTGGTCTCAGTCCTGCGCCAAGTCCATCCCCACCATCAGGGACTCTGGTGAAAAGGCAGACTGGGGCATAGACTCCGCGCCCTGGGGAATCCTGTTCTGTGGGTCACTAGAGATCCCACCGGGCGGTGCCTGACAGTACCTTACGGCCCGCCTGACCATTCCACCTCTCCAGCCCTGACTACGAGTGTGTTCCTGAAGCCTGCTACTTCCCTGTGTCAGTCCACACATTTCTGGTCATACCCGGATCCCTAACACATTGCTTCAGTACATGGATGACTTATTACTTTGCTCATCCAACAGGGAGGCTTGTAGGAAGGACAGTATATCTCTGTTAGATTTTCTGGTTACAGAGGGATACAAGGTGGCAAGACACAAGGTACAATATTGCCAAACTAGGGTTGATTTACTTGGGTTTCACTCTCTCACAAGGCATCAGAATGGTAAGCCAGTCAAGGATCCTAGCCATTACTGGTCTGCCCCGCCCGAAAACAAAAAAGGAAATGCTCTCCTTCCTTGGTATGGTTAATTATTGTCACCAATGGATACCTGACTGCTCCCATTATGACAACATACTCAGGCAGCACACTAAAACTGAGGCTCCAGACCTCATTAAATGGGACTAAGAATCCACCAATGCCTACCAAACCTTGAGGTCCTCACTAGTTTCCTTTCCTGCTCTGGGTTTAGCAAATTACAATGTTGAATTTCATGTGTATGATCATGACAGCTGTAAAACCATGGTGGCTGTGGTCGCTCAGGGTTATGGAGGACTCATGAAGCCAGTGGCCTATGTTTCAAAAGTAGTACCAAGTCTGGTACAGGGCATGCTGGCGTGTCTGAGAACCCTGGCCATCTGTGCCATGGCATTGAAGGAATCAATGGGTGTGACTCTGGGACATAAAACCATTCTTCACACTACCCATCATGTACTGCATGTCTTTAAGAATCTTACTACGCAGCACATGGCAGCACAAAGGGCAAGTGGTTCTGAGGTAATTTTGACATCAACTGCTAATTTGGAAGTGAAATATGCAGGTTCTAACTCAGGTCCCTTAGCTATGCTGAATTGTTTGTTAGGGATAAAAGTTGAAACTGAACCCCCCCCCCCCCCCGAGGAACATGACTGTGTCCTGGTAATACATGAGGACACCACTCCCAGAATAGACATGCAACAAACCCCCATCCCAGTGGCTCTGGATATATTTGTAGATGGTTCTTGTTCCAGACCTTCAGATGAAAAGGTATGCAGTGGTTCATCTACTTGATATTGTTCATGAGGCACTACTTCTCCCTTACAAGTCAGCACAAGCGGCAGAGCTTATAGCTTTAACCACAGCATGTGAACTTTTTGAGAATCAGGATGTAAATGTTTACACAGATTCTAAGTATTCGGGGTTGTTCATGACTTTGGAAAAATATGGCAGAGACAGGGATTCACTACTGCAGATGGAAAAGGAATATCACATGCAGACCTAATAAATAATCTTTTAGTTGCCATTCACAAACCTAGGTCCATAGCAGTAAATCGAATGTAAGGCACACTCTTCTTCCTCTGATTTTGTAGCCAAAGGCAATGCACTTGTTGACTACACTGCTAAGAATGCCGCCTTACAGCAACAACTCTTACAAAAATCAAATGTCTATGGTTATTTAAGAACCACCTATGCTACCAGAACATTCTCTCCTTAAAGTACTACAATATACAGCAACCAAGGAGGATGTAAGATACTGGCAAAAAAAGGATTGACATTAGAAGCAAATGGTCTAATGTCAAAGGGAGGTATAATAGGACTCCCACATCACAGTGCTCCTCTTATCATAGCACAGTTCCATAGCATAGGACAGGTTGGCAGGTAGCGAGAGATGAAATAAAGAAATGATTCTGTATACCAAATCTTTCTAAACAGACACAAAACCAAATAGGGCGGTGTGTTACATGTATTAGAAATAATCCTGGCAATCCCAATCAGGCTAGACATGACAATCTGGTGCCACCTAGTGGACCATTTGAGGAACTCCAGATTGATTTTACACACACATGCCTAATAATGTGCGAGTTAAGTTTCTACTAGTGACAGTGGACCACTTCAGTCGCTGGCCTGAAGCGTTTGTAACAAACAAGGAGGATGCAAAGACCGTTGCTAAAATCCTTTGCAAAGAAATCATCCCTCAATGGGGATGTCTGGTGAATATAGACTTGGACAAAGGACCAGCATTTACCTGAAAGGTTACACAAGAGGTAGCCAAACTGATGAGCATTGACTGGAAGTTTCACATACCCTACCACCCACAGAGTTCTGTTCAGGTAGAACAGGCAAATAGGGCCCTGAAGGAGAAATTAAGGAAGGCAACAGATGGGACATTTAAGGGATGAGAGGTGTACCTGCCAGCTGTTCTGGCTGAGATGAGGATGACACCTAATAAAGTCACTAAACTTTCCCCTTTTGAAATTCTTATGGGCATACCTTTCCCCACCCCCTGGAAAAGAGGCACTTTGATAGTTATGCCAGGTGATTTAGAATGAATCCAGGAGAGACATGTCCAAGAATTAATTAGGGTGTTGAATGGTGTATACGGTGACATCTCTCTCTCTCTCTCTCTCATTTCCTCTTCCCACAGATGATCCAACCCACCCGTACAAGCCAGGAGATCAGGTGGTGGTTAAGGAACTTCACAGAAACAAGACCATAAATCCACCATATGGGGAACCCAACATAGTGACGGCTGTGACGGGAACCGCTGTTCTGACTGCTGATTCCAATATCTGGATACATGCTTCTGGAGTAAAGAGGGTCCCGGAACCACCAAAGAACCAAGAGCAACAGACGGAACAAGGAAAGGAGACAGATCTATCAACACCTTTCAACCTTCAGGATGCTGCTTCAGAGATGGCTTGGAAGAACTATCTTTTGATCGGTTGTCTCTCAGGGAAAGCTTTTTCAGTGACGTACTGAGCTAGCCACTGCTACTATCACCCAGAGGAATGGCTGCCAATTTGTGGCCACAACAGTGAAACTATGAATGACACTGAACTAATAAAAAAGAGCAGAAAATATCATTGACTCAAAAAATGTCACTGTTGAAACTTAAGTACAGGTATGCCAAGCTCTCAGGATTCAAAAGTTGTTGGGTTTGCAATATGCTCCACCCTGAAACCATGAACATTCCTTTGTATGCTGCTCCTAAATATGTGACATCAATGTTTATTAGTAATCTGAGTAGTATCCTTACAAATGTTACTACAAGGCCAAAATTTGAAGTGTTGGGAGTTATGATGGAACCTGAGTAGTGTTTTCATTTAGGCAACAAATCAAATGAAGGGGAAGAATTTTGTAGCAAGTCTAAACTCACTGGGAAGGTACCTGAGGATGGTAACTGTACAAATAAATACCACTAAGAATAGATAGAAATTATACATAGAAAACATAACTAATAATGCAAAGCACAGGAAACATTACGGATTAGGCCACATTTTTATTCACCTAGCTCTAGTTGGTTACCCCAACCCAAATGTAAGCAAGCATGGAAGAATCAATCAGTAGCCTTTACTGAAGGAGTCCATGTATGTTGTGGGAAGGTTTGTTATCCATGGATCCCCCAAAAACAAGACGGATGGTGTTATTTAGCTACCCTGGTACCAGTTATGGATGTTATGGGAGGGACACACAGTGATGCCTTACAGGCTAGTAGTCATCCCTGATATCCTTTGAAACGTAGGTACAAGCAGGAACTATTTAAAACAGGGGACCAAGCCTGGTCATGGTTCCCTTCATGGACTGGGTGGGGGATAGAATTGATGAGAAGGTTAAATTACTATTCACTCATTATGGATCAGATTATTATTATTTATTTATTACAGGTACTTGTATAGTGTTGTCAATGTACATAGCGCTTTACATATATATTGTACATTCACATCAGTCCCTAACCCTCAAGGTGTGTACAATCTAAGGTCCCTAACTCACATTCATGCATACACATACTAGGGGCAATTTAGACAGGATCCAATTAACCTACCATCATGTCTTTGCAGTGTGGGAGGAAACCAGGATACCCGGAGGAAACCCACGTGGGCACAGGGAGAACATGCAAACTCCAGGCAGGTGGTGCCGTGGGTGGGATTCGAACCAACGACCCTAGTATTGCTAGTTCCCACATAAGTGTTAACCATTTAGCCACTGTGCTGCCCAGATTATAAATAAAACACAACAAGAGGTGGGTCTTTTGAATGTTGAACAACGGGCACTGAGGAAACAGGTGCTCATAAATGAAATAAAAATAGAACAAATGGGTGCAGCATTGACCGGGCTGTGTGAATCTACTACAGACTATGAGTGTTGTACATGGATACATAACACATTTGATGAGATTCCAGACTACTATGAAGTCATTGAGAATCACAGCGCCCAGGTAAATGCTTTACAAGCTCGAGCTCGGTCCATAGCTGAGAATGGCTGGAACCCTTTTAAGGGGTTAGGAGGTTTTGGAGATTTTTTTGGATGGTTTAAGAAAGTAGGCATGCTGATTTTGTTATGTCTTTTACTAATATTTGTTCTCTATGCTGTTGCTAAACTTTGCATGTGCACTTTTAACAAGCTTTTAAAGAATCCGTATGCATATTGGAAACAACAACTGTGAATTTTGTATTGTCACGTTTTGACAAAAGGGCGGTACTGTAAGGATATATATATTTAAACTGGCATCCATTTTAAATAATGCCTCTATTTTAAATATCTAACAGCTCAAGTTTTGTTTCTCAAAAGTACTCATTTCTCTGTAAACGGACGTACCTTATATGGTAGCCCTCAGCTATTTGCAGTTTCTGTTCTTCACGTACCTATACTGACAAAAGTGTAATTTTATATTGGTTATCCTGACTAAAAAACACCTGTTGAGTTTCTGTATATCATCCCTTGCTTTTTATTAAACTTTAGAAATACTGCTTTTACACTGCTGTGTCGAGAACTTTATTTCCCCGGATCCGGTGGTGAGAGAAACGAGGACAGGTCGGGCTACAGATGGACAGATATTGATCCCATCACCATCTGTGGTCACAAAAGTCTGCAAACGAATAAAGAGAGAGAGTACCTTTTCAATGTGATTGAAATCTTCTTATAGGCCCCTGTGTGATTTAGGTGTGATGCTTGCTGCATCTTTGAAACTGCCTGCCATATGGAGATGGATGATATACACACCTAAAATGTGTGTTAAACCTGCTTAAAACGCAAAGTTTGGGACAGAGTCTTTGTAGGTAATGTCACTTCCAGTTTTACAGTGGAACACAAGTCGGTTCTCAGAGAGCAGCTGGAGTGGTGGCGCTCCCCCTATTTACAGTTGATATCAAATATAGTTGTTAAAGTGGTTCTAGAGGCAGAAGTTTTTTTACCCTAATGCATTCTATTTTTTTCCATGGTCTCCCTGCCTCATCTGATATTTAAAAGGAGTGTTTTGTTCTTTAAATATTTTACTTGCTTTTATTATCTAGATAAATATAGTTATATAGTTTATAAAGCATATAGAGTTGGCAGACAGTGATCCGATCCAAATGACATCTTGCAGATCATAGACATTTTAACTTTTTCAACTTTTGCAGATCTTGGCAAATGAACACCCAGGTAAATCAAAAGATTATAATCTGTCCAGCTTCAGCAGCATACGTGTAATCACAATGGAGACTAAAGCATACTGAAGGAGGGTGGGACTAACTATATAGAGTAGAGACAAAATAAAGGTAGAAAAATAGGCACGATTAGCACCATAAAGGACTACACTTTCTTTTTAATCTAATAGCAAGTGAGGCTTTCAATGAATGTTTTCCATATGTCTTCCAATACATGCCGCTAATGTGTTTCTTTAAAAGAATCACATGAAAATATCATGCTTTTAGTGACATTTAAACATAATTAAATCCAATCTCTTTAATGGGAAGCTTGGTGATTATTTGAATGAGCTCAATTTACTTCTAAATTGCCTTGAACTGCAGCATTAATTCCTTGTAAAAAATATTACAGTTTAATGCCAGAAAAGTCAACCAGCAGAAGTGATAATGAACAATACATCTGAATTAAGTGCCTGAATGTATTTCACAAACACCCAACAACTGGCAAAATAAACATCCTTATTTAACTTCAGCAGATATTTCTTCTCACTCTCTCTCCATCGGATTAATCGTGTTGACATATTAAGCAAAATTAGTTTCTCCAAAGTCAGACATCATTACGGCTTCAGACAGAGAGCTTTCAACAAATGGAGCTTGGTTGGCTTGTTAAAAAGACAGTTCATGCTTTTAGCTGGTAATAAGGTCAACCTTTTATTATTTTTACATTCACAGCATGTACAACACATAAACACTTTAGATGTTAAAGGTGGCAGGAGAATATCTGCAACAAATGTACAAATCGTCAGGTTTAGCACAACAATGTGTTTTCATAGCCTTGAATAATATAATTGTGCCTATTTATCTTTCCATCCAGAACAACGTTTGGCCTTGGAGACTAACACAACCAACTGGATGAGTTTTCTGTGGGCTAAAGAAAGTTTTTGACCAGCACAAAAAAATAGCCTATTAACATTGTATTTTGTCCACATGCGCAAATGTTATATAAACAAATCAGTGGTGAAAGGTTGGTGTTGCTTTAGAGTACATCTTCTTCCAGCATAGACCTAATTTGTGGATCTGTATTCAGTTGCATGATGGCACAGAACCACAAAGGGCCTTGATGCTGCAAGACATCTCTCTGCAAGGCACAGATAGCTATAGAATGCTCAGCAGCTGTCACTGACTGTGGGTTCTGCTCTAATTGAAGTCTAGGGTGGGAGAGTTAGCTATTAGACATCACAAGCTCAACCTATATGGAAGAAAAATATATTTTTTAAAATATTCTTCCCAAATATATATATATATATATATATATATATATATATATACACACACACACACACACACACACACACATACTGTATGTATTTAAAAAAAATCTGAAGAATATATTTAGAGATGAGCGAAAGAAAAAAATTCGATTCGACTGATTCGGCGAATTCGTGGACAATATTCGATTCGAGTCGAATAAATTCGCTGTGAATTTAACTTAAAAAAGGGTGTTTCTAGGCTTCAGAGAGACTTAATATTAGTGCAGAACACTGTACCTTTAATTTAAATGCCCTTGGAGTCTGCTGGGGAAGAGAAATAATACTGTCACTCAGTATGACATGCAGATGAGTGCCGTCGATCTTAGAATCACCGCACACTTCACTCATTTGGCCAGTCACGGGGCCAAAACCAGTGTTTGGAGCCACAGTGTGGCGGTGGAGGCAGCAGCAATGGGAGGCCATACAGCAACCTATGACAAAATGGAAACCAGCAGGAGTGTGAGGAGACCTGAAAGTGGCACATGGCAGAGTGGGAGCAATGGGAGGCGGTACAGGGACCCAGGTCACACTGTGGGCCCAGCAGCAGCGTGACCAGGCGGTACGGGGGCCCATGGCAGATTTGGGGCCTGGCAGCACCTATGGGAGGCCTGTAACCTGCCAGCAACCTATGACAAAATGGAAAACCGCAGGAGTGTGAGGAGACCTCAAAGTGGCACATGGCAGAGTGGGAGCAATGGGAGGCGGTACAGGGACCCAGGTCACACTGTGGGACCAGCATCAGCGCGTGAACAGGTGGTACGGGGGCCCATGGCCGATTTGACCTCGTTCATCCCATAGTCCTGCCGACTCACGAATAGCGTGGCCTCCTCAAAGGGCCTGAGCAAGCGCAGGTGTCACGCATGAGCTGACAATGGCTGACATCTCCTATGTCAAAAAATTGGAACACACCAGCAGTGTGAGGAGACCTCAAAGTGGCACATGGCAGAGTGTTGGCGATGGAGACAGCAGCAATGGGAGGCCGTACAGGGACCCATTGAGAGACTCTGGACCTGGGCAGCAGCATGAGGAGTGGCGGTGCTGTCCCAAGAGTAGGCCCAAGCCTGTTGTTTGAGGTCCTGCTCCAGGTCCACCTGATGCTGCTGCTGCTGCGGCTGGTTAGTAGTTTCCTCACTGCGCTGCAGGTGAAGAAACTACTCATCATCGACTGTAGGACTGAGGCAGACCGCTTGCTGTGGAGCTGCCACTGCTCCTGAGCCTCCGCCCCACCCCTCGCCCTGCTGCCATGGCAGCGGAACGCGAGCACACAGGGCCCACACAGTGTCTGAGAGGATTGGACGTTGCGCACACAAAGGCAGAGACCACACTTTGACTACATATGTGGTTTTTAATAGTACGTTATTTTGGCCTCCCTCTCATGCAGGTGTGAAAAAGGCCACCATTTTTCTTGAACGGTAGCGAGGGTCCAACAAGGTGGACAGCCAAAAGTCATCCCCTCTGTCTGATGTTATTATTCGGACTGTCAGCTGACTGCAAGGCAAAACGCAATCCCGAAGCATGCTATGGTCCATTTTGTGCCAAGGAATGTCCGAGGGACATCTTCCCTGCCTTCCATCTCCACAGCATACTGCCACGGTCTTGCGTCTGGGTCCCTGTCTCCTCCTCCTCCCACCCATTCACACTCAATAATTCCTGAGCACAAATGTCCTCAGCTCTACCTCCTCCTCTTCTTCCCTGGTCCACTGCCCCCACAGGGGTCATGTAGCGTTGAGATCTGTGGCGCCACGTCTACCGCACCCTGACCAGCCATTGTTAACAGCATTTGTTCAAGGACGTGCAACAGAGGAATGAATTTTGAAAACGTCGTTCATCCCATAGTCCCTGCCGACTTCACGAATATGCGTGGGCCTCCTCAAAAGGGCCTGGAGCAAGCGGCAGGTGTCACGCATGAGCTGCCAATGGCTGACATTCGAAGTTACACAGGGAGTACCTTTAGCTCCGCTTGTAACATCAGGAAATCGGTGATGGCCTTTCGCTGCTCGTAAAGGCGGTCTAACATGTGTAGGGTTGAATTCCACCTTGTTGCAGGGGGGGGTCGCACTTCGCAGATCAGAGCGATGAATGTGGAATTCCGTTCTGACTGGGCGCTGCAGCTCAAGGAGGGTTGTGCTTTGCGGTGTAGGAATGTTAGCTGAAATGCATGCAAAGTTTACGTGACATTTTAATGGATGTCTTGCAGTGGGAATGGTGGATTTTAGGAACCGCTTGACAACCAGATTGAACACGAGAGCCATGCATGGCGCATGGCACAAACCTTCCTTGACGCAGAGCAGACTACCAATGTTCTTTCCGTTGTCGTTCAACATGGTTCCGATTTTCCAGTTTGCGCGGAGACAGCCATCTGTAACGGATTTCTCTGTCATTACACTGAGAAGTTCCTGCCCCCCTGTGTGACTTAACGTTCCGCCTGGACCCGGGCAGCCCAAAGCCAGCATTAGGAGGAAGGCGGATAAATAGGGGGCCCAAGGCAGATTATGGGCCTGGCAGCAGCTCAGGGACGAGGCCGTAAGACTGCCAGCACCCTATGTCAACACAAAACTCAACATACACCAGCAGTGTGAGGAGACCTGAGAAGTGTGGCAACATGGCATGAGAGACTGTGGACCTGGCAGCAGCATGAGAGTCGTGGGATAATGGGGCCCATGTATACTCTAGGGGCCTGGCAGCACCCTATGGAGGTCCGTAATCAGCCAGCGACCAAAGACCAAAAAATTCAACACAACCCCAGCAGTGTGTTGAGGAGACCTGAAAGTGGCACATGTCAGAGTGTGCGGATGGAGACAGCAGCAATGGCGGCCGAACAGGGACCCCATGAGAGACATCTGGACATGGCATGCAGCCTGAGGCAGGCGGTATATCGGGACCCATGGCGGGAGTCGATTAGGGGCCAGGCAGCAGCTATTGGAGCCCGTAATCTGGGCCCGCACCCTAAGTCAAAAAATTCAACACACCAGCATGTGAGGGGACCTGAAAGTGGCCCCATGGCCCTGAGAACTGTGGGCCTGGCAGCCCGCATGAGGGGGCGGGATAG